CGGGACACCTCCCCCAATGCCCCGGGACCCCCCGGGAACCCGGGGGGGTCCAGCCCTTCCCCCCCCCACTTTATTTTTAACTGAAGCAGATTTTGGTGTTTTGCTCCAATTTAATATAATTTGTTGTTTTATTTAATTTTCTTTAATAGAATTTATCTAAAAATGCGTGACCTGGTGCAAAGCAGACCCTCGTGCAAGAGGAGCGCAGACCCTTGTGCAAAGTGGGAGCAGATCCTCGTGCAACGCAGACCCTCGTGCAACGCAGACCCTCGTGCAAGGCAGCCATGGACCCTCGTGCAAGGGGACCCTCGTGCAAAGCGGGTGCAGCCCCTCGTGCAAGGGAACACAGACCCTTGTGCAAGCGGGTGCAGAGCCTCGTGCGCGGCCACGCACGCACACACATGTATATTCACATACATACATATATATATGCACACATCTATATGTATTTATGGCCTTATCTTGCATAAGGAGCTGGATCTCGGGCGGTTGCCATGGCAACGTGCAGAGAGCCCGCCGCGCCTTAAAGGGGCCGCAGTCCTGGAAGGGACCGGACCCCCCCAAGCCCCCCCGGCCCCGGGCCAGCCTCAKTTTCCCCGGTTTTGGGAAGGGGGGGTTGTGGGGGGGCATGGGGGTCTATGGGGCCTGAGGGGGGAACCAAAATGTCTATGGGGCTGGGGTCCCACTTAGGGGGTTGTCTATGGGGCTGGGAGGTCTGTGGGGATGGGGGTCTATGGGGTCCGGGGGGGCTCAGGTTCCCCCCCAGGGTCTCGGGGGTCCGGGCAGCGCGAGCCCCTCCCGGTCCCGCTCCCGGACCTGCTCCCGGTCTCGGCTCCATCTCGCTCCCAGTCTCTGCTGGGGTCGATGTCGCTCCCGGTCCCGGTTCTGGTCTCTGTCCCGCTCCCCATCCCGGTCCCGCTGCGGGTCCCGGTGTCTCTCCCTATCCAATTCTCGGTCCTGGTGCCGGTGCCGGTCCAGGTCCCGCTCCCCATCCCGGTCCAGGTCCCAGTCCCGGTGCCAGTGTCTCCCCATCCCCATCCCGGTCCTGGTCCCAGTCCCGGTGCCGGTGTCTCCCCATCCCCA